GTCTTTCTTTTTTTCTTATCCCAATGGTGGATTTTGTTTTTTTTATTCCAATTTGAGGAGATTCCTTTACCATCACTTAATTGTTTTTCATCATCTTCATTATCGCTTTGGGGTCTAAAATATTTAACCTTGGTCAAATTTTCCCTAGAAAACTGTAAGGCCTACCCTTTCACACAGCAAAGGAACCTGAGGAAACTGTAAGGCTTACCCTTGCACACATCAAAGGAACCTAGGGGAAACTGTAAGGCTTACCCTTGCACACAACAAAGGAACCTGGGAAAACTGTAAGGCTTATCCTTGAGCACAACAAAGGAACCTGAGGAAGCTGTAAGGCTTACCCTTGCACACAACAAAGGAACATGGGGAAACTGTAAGGCTTACCCTTGTACACAACAAAGGAACCTGGGGGAAACTGTAAGGCTTACCCTTGCACACAACAAAGAAACCTGGGGAAACTGTAAGGCTTATCCTTGCATACAACAAAGGAACTTGGGGAAACTGTAAGGCTTACCCTTGCACACAGCAAAGGAACCTGGGGGAAATTGTAAGGCTTACCCTTGCACACAACAAACGAACTTGGGGAAACTGTAAGGCTTACCCTTTCACAAAACAAAGGAACATGGGGAAACTGTAATTAATCCATTAAAATATGAAAATGTTCCATATTTAGAAATTAGGTACAAAAATACTGTAACCAGAAACCATATCAGAGATATGTAGTAAATCAGATATCAAAATAAAATGTATTCAGAATATCGGGTATTGTCTCATAAAAATATTCAGTATGTGATCTATTATAATCATATTTTCCAGTGAAAATAGGAAACTCAATAACATATTTCAGGTAACTATAGATCATAAAACCAGTAGATTCCATGATGTCGTAAATCAGGAATAATTAATATTTTTCGGTGAAAACCGTAATCGGAAAACATATAACATGTTGCCATGGTTCATAAACCAATAAATCATAATTTGATGAAACTCATTTAAAAACATATAAAATCGTCATGTAGTACATGTGGAATACACTAGGATATCCAAGTTTTCTCATAGACACTTGATAGTTATCAAAATGGATAACATGAAACTGATGTAATTTGATCGGATTCCAGGAACAAGGTCCTATTGAAGGGAATCGAATGCTAACGGATCTAATAAGACATTTAAGGTTGATACTTTAGAATTCCACTATGATTCATGTGTATCAGGAAAGCGTTCAGGAATAACCGGAGTGATTTGAGCTAATAAAAGAGAAACGGAGATTCCAGACATTTACAATTCATGTTGATCGATCGGTTTATCGAACTATTCAAACTGAACAACTCTCAGAACTAATGCATGTCGACCCATCAATTTATTCCCTTTCCAGGGTATTCACTCTTTAATACTAACAATTCTTGTCCATAAATCATCTTCGTAATCATCGCTGAATAGATCTTCCAATTATCTTTATTTCATTTCCACGTTTCAACGATATCAGGAAATACTGACATACTTGATTCATGGTTCATAACCCATAAGAATAATTCATCATGTAAGTTCAACAGTGTTTCCAGACTCATCCAATCACTTATTTAATCCTCAGTCATTGAGGTTACTTCGTTCATTTAGCAATCAATTCTATCCCGGTTAATTCAGAGTTTTCCAAAGTAATTTAGACATTTCTGAATTTCAAATACACATTGTATTTCCTTTCAATTCACTTTAGTTATATAATAAAGTTATTCCGGTATTCGTGGTTGATTTGTCTTACGAATATCCACTTCTTAGTACCGAATGCGCTCTAGAGTTGAGCTGAGCTAAGTACTTCCAGAATTATCATCGATCCAAACTTAAGAAGACGAACATGCATTCAAGTGATATCCATGCCATTCAGGTATTGACATAATATTAGGGTTGATCTACTCACTTAAATTGTGTTCCATTACATTTAAGGGTAGTACAACAACACCTATGTTTATTTGAATTCCTTAATTAACCCAAGACCTTTACTTAGTCTAGACCATAAGGGCATTTTGGTGCTCAATATTTTTCCATACATTTCAAAGCTTGAGGATATCCATTCATTCCTGGCTTGGTGATATTCTTGAGTTATTTCCATTACAAGGGTATTTTGGTCATTTTACAGATCCAACGTATTTTAATCAGTTCTTTCCGTCCGATCTTGTTATTTAATTTAGACTTATCATCTATTCCATTCCATTCGAATAATTCTGACAGAAGAGCATCCTCAATAAATTATTCTTTAGGTATTTACTCATAACTCAGAGATTTACGGCTTATCAAGAATTTTCTATATAAACATGTGAACTTAACTATAAAACTAGTAATTCATCGATTTAGGTATGACTTCTTGAGTACTTTTCCATTCAGGGTCAATTCGGGCTATTTTTCCCTTTCAAGGGTAATCTTGTAATTTCTTAACCATATACTTTCGGTATTAAAACTCTTAACAAAGATAATTATAATTTAGAGATTCTAGGGTTAATCGTTTTTCTGGATAATCTTTAAACTTTAAATTATTCCTTATCAACTTCTAGCACCTTGTACAAGCCATCTTGGGTATAAAAATCGGTTATCCAGATTTCCTAAGCAAAACTAGTATTTTCCATATACATCAGTAGTTTCATCATATCAATATATCTTTACAAATTTCTTATCCAACTTTCAAGATCGGTTCTTGTCTTTTTACAACATAAGGGTATTTTCGTAATTTTACCTAATTGAAGTATTCTCATAATTTATCGCTTAAATCATATTCGATTCGAGTCAATCTATAAAAAACAGGCATAATAGTCTAATCATATACATCCATGCATTTTTCTATTTTCAACATGTTCTATAAAGCATAAAGAGATAGTAATGTATTACCTCAATTTCTGTGCAATAATGATCGACCATTAAATTCCATTGGAACGCCCTCAATCTTGAAATCAACTTTCAATAATTCCTCATATGCATATCAACAGAAATTACATAAAAACGAAGCTTAATTCCGAAAAAACGGATATAATCAGGTGATAAATCAGTGAAACCCAGCTTACCGGGTTCGAATTTGGCGAAACAGACTTCGGATTTGGATTCAGGACGTCGAAAAACATAAAATATGACTTTTCAAAAATTTGACTTTTGGTCAAAGTCAAAGTTAACGGGTTTGACTAGCAATTTCGAGGCTTTCGGGTCTGAATTTCAAAAAACAGATTGCGGAATAGAACTCAGGACATCGAAAAATGTCAGGATAGGTGTACCCGAAAAAAGTCAACGCCCGTCAAAGTTCTGGTCAACAGTGATCAATGGTCAACGGTTAACGCATGTCAACAGTCAACAATTTACACAAATATCACCCTAAAAAAAATTAATTACAAAATTAGCACCCTTTAACAATGTTTACAAAACTAGCACCCGAGTTTTACACAATATCACCCAGACATAAATTAATTACAAAAGTAGCACCCCTACGCGCAGTTGCAGCACGTGCGGTGCGTGAACAGTGATACGGTGTCGGAAAAATTCCCGAAAATTTTCTAGAAATTATTTTAAGGCATTTTAAGAAACTTACCAAGCTCGGTTCACAATTTTGAATGGTGGAGAGCTCGATTCCGAAACATCGAAAACTTTGACTTTCTCACCCCTCCACTCATTGGCGACGACGGAGAAATGGTGAACATCGGTGGACTCGGAACGATGCAAGGAACACGATGGTAAGGGAGGTGTTGAAAATGGATGGCCAGATCGTCGTGAATCGACGAAAAACCAACGGAAATCGAGTTAAAACAAACGATACTTCCAACTGAAATTAACGATTCACGAAGACGATTCACGACGAAAGGTTTGAGGGTTTTTGTTCATCGGTCGAAAACAAACACGATGGAGGTTTTGATTCGTCGATCAGAGGTCGGACGGCGAGTAGATCGGAGTTGAAAGGAGGGTTGAGGGGAAGAGGAAAGCTGGAAACAATATGGAAACTGAGCACGACAAAGGGGTTTATAATTCATCCCATAAAAAATGGGTAAACCATGAGTTTAGTAACTGAATTTTATGCACTTTATAAAACGGTCTGCCAACTTTATGATTTTACAATTTAATTCTCATTTTCTTCCAAATTCCAATTAAATTCACCACTTTATAATTTCTAAAATTTAGCCCCTAAATTAGGGTGTTACAGATACCCTGAGATCAGTACCGATAATGAGGGACTTAGTATCGGTACCCATGAACATTTTAGATAAAATCCCAAGGATTTTAAAGGATATTTTTGAGTAAATCAATTAAACTAGAATACCATGAAATAAAATTACAAGTGAGAACAATAATAAATTCAGAAAAGCTAGAAACAATAAAAGTTAGTATGATATAAACCTAGTCTTGTTTGATACTTGGGAATCAATCAAAACACTCGAGTCACTTTAGCAGACAGTGATTATAGAGTTTGGATGTGCCAAGGCACTTTAACTTCCAATTGGGCTTAGATGTTCCAAAACTCGACGGAGTAAGTTGATTGGATGTATGTTTTCGATGTAGTTTCGAATCTCACCCTAGATATCCAATGGTATATAGAATGGCTAAAAGGGGTGTGTGAGCTCCGATAAGTAGAACCCTCAACCACAAATGATGCCTACCTCAATATGTCATTTTAGCATTTTCCTTGTCTTCATACCTATGCCTCTAAAATTCACATTTAGTGAATGTATGTAGTATAGTATAGCTATTAGCGAGGCACTGAGCTCGTAAGCTCAACGTTCGGAATGTATTTCCCTACGTAGGTTATTAGAAGGCCATCCGGGAGCATTATCGTCACCAGATATTCCAGCTCAGCAGAGATCCTTATAGTACATTTTGATTACTTTTTTCTTATTCTTTCTTACTTAGTTAATCTTTTCTAATTTTTCAACTCTTGTCTCTTTTGATTGAATGATTGAAAGGGAGCAATAAAAAAATCAAGATATTACAAAGTTAAAATGGAATTTTATATTCTTAATTTTTTAATCTTTCTCAATTAATTACTTTTTATTTACATTTATATTTATATTTGTATATAATTAAATGAAAAATGACTATGTAATCTAATAAACTATTCTTTTTTTTTTTCATATTTATGTATCCTTTAACAAACTAACTATGAGTCTCATTTGAATTTGATTGAAAATCAAAATTACGCATACTCTCTCTTCAAGCTTGACCAATTACCAATTAATAGAAAAAAAATTCAAGTTTGCATAGGTAGATAAAATGGTTTTTAGACTTTTGCTTTTTATTTATTTTTTATGTATAAATTCTAAATGGAGATGGATAAATTCTAAACGTAGGACGACAAAAAGTAGGCTGAGTATAGAAAAGTAAAGACCTTTTTTTTACGTTTTTTGATTTTGATGTATATACATTTTTTATGGACAAAAAACTTTTTTTTATGTTATGACTCTTTCGTATACGTTTAGTTTTGCTATCCTGTATATATAGATAGATGAAATGCATGATCTAGCATGCCTATTTCTGAACGTGAAATAAAAGCCCTTTGTCCCAATATGAAGATTTAATAAACCCTTTTTTGTATCCATTCATAACTTTATTTTGATTTAAACTTAATGTATTTATTTTGGGTGATTTATGAGCTCCCCCATACTTGTAAAATAGGTTTACTACATTTTATTTATATTTCTATGGATGATGTTTTATATAATAGTTTATGATGGTTTTACAAAGAAAATTTTGAGTTAGCCACTTCGGTGGTCCCTGTATGACATTGTAATCCATTGATCTTTGGGTTGGACATGATTAGGGCGTTACATTTAGTGGTATCAGTGCATCAGGTTTAGTCATTCCTACGTCCCGTGTGTTAGAGTTAGTCAGTGTCTATTCATATACATGCCTATAGAGAGTAAAGAGTACTATAAAAATTAGAATGATGATAATAACTTCTTTTCCTTTCTATTTTCAAAGAAAACCTATGGAAAATGATCCAACTTACAATCAGAACGATAGTTATACATCCTTAGTAGTCGATACCAATGATGAGTTCATCTCGAATACTGATCAGTAAGATATACCACTTTCGTAGGTTTAAAGAGCGCGTATACCTCAATATTTTTTCTCATCTTAAAGCTGACCCTCTTAGGGTCTTCATTGAGTTATCCCGTCAGGCAAAGGTAGTTGAAAGGATCATGAGTAGGAGGGTCTGACATTCGAGCGGGGTGATGATACAATCCAAATGAGCTGCTGAGTTAGTGAGGTCATTGATGATTTTCTCCAAGAGGGCAAAAGATAATCAACGTGTAGCTCTGAGTCTAGGAGGAGGAATCTGACCTTAGTATCTAAAGCTAGTATCAGTTATTTGGCAAGAGTCTTCACTCACCCTATTGTGCTAAGTGTGAGAGGAGGCATCCAAGGATGTGTCAGTAGGGATAGAGGGGTTTTTTAGTTGCGACTCTTTAGATCACTTTGTTAAAGATTGCTTGGGGGTTCAAGGAGTGACTGCAACGTCGACCTAGAGATCAACACTATCTGTACAGAAAGGTAAAGGGCTAGTGAGGGGTGATCATACTGCATCTAGACAGTATAGTAGAGGGACAACCTGTAATACCCCAAAATTTAGATAATGACCAAAATGTAAATTTGAAAGTTTGATGGTCAAAGTAGAAAATTTGGGTTTAAGGAATTAAGTGGTAATTTTCCCAAAAAGAATTTTATTCCATAAATGGATTTATTTAGTGACCAAATTATAATTGATACAGTTTAATGACTAAAGTATAACTTTAAAAAGTTCAGGGACTAAAATATAATTTTGGGAAATTAAATAGGTCACGAAAATAAGGAAATAAATATTATTTTCACATTTTGTAATGTTGGAAAATAATATCTAATGGTTTAATTTCATGTTTAACTTGAATTATTTGATTAAAGTGACTGAATTATAATTTTTAGAATTGCAAGGGCAAAACGGTTAAGTGAAAAAACTAATTTGTTCATCTTTGACTATTGAAAGATGACAAGGCTGATATTTATCTGATTTTGAAAATGACAATGATATGTATCTTGGTTTAATGGTGATTATGAAGTTTATTAGGGTAAATTGGTATTTTCCAAGTTAATGAATTAAATGATATTTTTAAAGGATGATAAGCATGATATCAAAAAAATATCATGCCAATGTTCATCTCCTCCATCATCTTCACGTGAGAAAGCTTCCAAGGTAAGAAAAATATTTTATTTTCAATTTTTGAGCTAATTCTTTTGGAATTAGAGTTAGTCATAAAATAGGAAAATGATCTACGCGAAAATGCTATCATTTGATACAAGTATTTCTTTCTAATCTTGCTGGATTTCAAAGATACCAAATCTAAGGGTTTATGTTCATGATAGGATTCATGAATTGATGATAAATCTTGATGATTTAGAGGTTGTAGATTCGTTTTCAAGCTTGATTATGGTTAAAACATGTTCATCTTTCTAGAGATTTTTATGTAAAATTCGGCGAAATTATAAGTTGAAGAACTTTGTGTTCTGATGAAAGTTAATTAGGTATTTGATTGTAGAGATGTTAAAAGGTTGATTTAAAGTTGAGTTCATGCTTGAATCGAATCAAAATCGAGCAAAAATATGAAACATAGTTAAAGGATAAAGTATTCGATTATGAGTTATCTAAGTGATAAAATGGTGAAGAACCATTTTATGTAATGGAAAAGTTGATATCATTGATAAAAGGAATTATTAAGTGTTAAAGATTTGGTAGAAAATAGTTCCAAGTATATTATGGAATGTTATAGGATGTGTTTATGTTAGTACAATACTAACATAAGTATTGTTATGAATTTGTGATTTTATACAGATTGTGATTTAAGTTTGATTGAAGCAAATCAAGTATAAAAGTTATTGTGGATTGTAGTGAGGTATACACATTGTGAATTATATAAAGTGTCAAGGTGAGTGCAATACATGATGATATGGTACATAGATGTTTTATACATCGTGTACATAGATGTTTTATACATCATTTGGAAGACTTGTGATAAGTCGACCTTGTTTTATCAATGAGATTTGATATGGAAGTTATTTTGGGTATGAATTGCCCTAATGTTATACATGGTTATACGTTTCCATGGATGATTTAATTGATGACTATGCCCAAATATGTTATTGAGGTTCAGTGGTATTAATGGATGCCATAGAGTCTAGCAGCTACAGAATTAGTAGTACTATAGTGTCAAATAAGATACATAGTACAAGTTAGGTGGGTAAAACCCGACCTCAGCACTACGGTGCATTATTAGGTGAGCAATGCTCGACCTCAGCACTTTGTGCACTATTTGACTCCATGAATTGTGTTGCACTGTCTATTGTTTTAATTGCCTCACTAAGTTTATACTTAGCGTGTGATGATTTTCACGCGTAGGTAAAAAACCAGTAGTGGAATAAAGAGTTCAAGTTGACATCAAGCATCAATGAGTGTATATTAATATCAGTAAGACATCCTAAGATGAATGTTGACTTATTAGTGGCATGTAATTATTAATGTTTTACTTGCTTTGTTGAACTTAGCGTGTGATGATTTTCACGCGTAGGTAAAAAACCAGTAGTGGAATAAAGAGTTCAAGTTGACATCAAGCATCAATGAGTGTATATTAATATCAGTAAGACATCCTAAGATGAAATGTTGACTTTATTAGTGGCATGTAATTATTAATGTTTTACTTGCTTGTTGAACAAATTTGGAAACAAAATGGCAATTTTTATGAATTTATTTATATTTTCAGAAATTATTGTAGTAGTCACTGTAGCAGTGCATCGATGCATAATTTTAATTTGAAATTTTGGTACATCGATACACTGTCCACGTTACTGTAGCAGTGCATCGATACAATGTTCACTGTTCACGGTTACTGCACACTGTTACTAAAAAAATCTTTTATTTTAAATTTGTTATAATGAAACATAATTCATATGATATGATATTTTTAATATCATTACCATTTAAAGAAATAAATTTTAAATCACTTTTGAAGTGGAAATGGTTTTAGAAAATTCGGGTGACATCTATAATCTGTATAGGTATAATTATACGGGTTATGGGTGTTACACAACCAAATCTGTGGCTGGTGTGGAACCGAGGGTGGAACTTCGACTGGCTTAGGGGAGTGTGTGTTTTCCCCAAAATTGACTGCGATCAGGTTATTACCAATTGAAAGTTAAGGATTTCGATGTGGTGAAGATAACTTTTAGGATAAGATACAATCATTATAAATTCCTCATAATATCATTCAGACTCACCAACACCTTGGAAGCATTCCTGGACTTAATGAATCGAGTCTTTCACCTGTACCTAGATCAGTTTGTGGTGGTTTTTATAAATGACATCCTTGTGCACTCTCAATCAGAGAAGGAGCATGACCAACACCTCTATATCGTCCTTTAGATACTCTAAGATCAATAGTTATATGCTAAGTTTGGGAAGTGTGAGTTTTGGTTACCAAAGGTTTTATTTTTAGGTCATGTCATATCAACATACGTCATCTGAGTATACCCTCAAAATATTCAAGCCATAGTTGGGTGGGAGCCAACTAAGAATTGTTAGAGGTGTACAATTTCCTAGGTTAGCTGGGTACTATGTCGATTCGTCCAAGGTTCTCCATGATAGTTGTCCACTGACCAAATTACTTCAGAAAGGAGTTCTATTGAGTGGGATGAGAAGAAAAAGAAGAGCTTTTATCAGTTAAAGACCATCTTAACTCAGGCCCTAGTGTTGACTCAACTAGAGTCGGGTAAGGACTTCACAGTTTTCAATGACGCTCAATTGATTGGTATTGGATGTGTCTTGATACAAAAAAGGTCCTGGATTATGCTTACCGCCAGCTTAAACCTGATGAGCGCAATTATCCCAGTTATGACCTTGAGCTAGTAATAGTGGTGCTTGCCTTGAAGATTTGGAGACACTACCTTTTTGATGAGAAATGTCACGTCTTCACCGATCACAAAAGTCTTAAGTATGTACTTACACAAAAGGAGTTAAACTTGAGACATTATAGGTGGGTTGAGTTACTTTATGACTATGATTGTGTGATAGACTACCATTCGAGTAAAGCAATACCGGGAAATGCCTTGAGTAGAAAATCGATTTCAGAGTTGTCAACACACCTTTTCGTCCTACTAGGATTCAAACTCCTAAAAATAGGATAGAATTTTGCTAGGATTCAAACTTCTAAAAATAGGATAGAGTTCTACTATGATTTAAACTCCTAAAGATAGGATCCACAAGCACTATAAATAGCCATTGTAACTCACTATTGAAACACGATTTACAGACAAAATACAGAGGAAAAACACGGAAAATACAAAGGCAAAGCTAT